ATATATATATATATATTCATACATATACATACATACATAGATACATACATAGATACATACATAGATACATACATGTATATATACAATATTGCTTTGGTATATGCAGTTGTGATCACACATTAGTTTGTTTAAATTTACACAATGGCCCTTTTTTTTCATAACTAGATGGTACTTTTTATTCATAACTGAAATGAATTTTATTTTGCAGTTTTGATAGGCTAATCTGTTTGCATGATGAATGGAGATAATATTATCATTATAACAATCTGAGCTGCATGTAATTATAATTGCACTACTATTTTCTGAAATTGGTTTTGCATCAAGAATTATGCATCTCTTTAATTTTATTATGTACATATGTTTATTAAACTCGTTGAAACAGTGAATTATGATTATAACGATTACGAACGAATCGATAAAAATTGAAACGAATTTTTTTCTTTCAGAGGATCGTACAATCACAGTTATTCGATAGCATCACAGAAAATTTCAGCAGTGGTATTGACGATGAACAAAAATTATTAGAACAACGACTTTTAGAACAGCAGCGTCAATCGGAAGAAGATAGTCGTTGGTTAGCAAGAGAAGAGGTGCGATTAATTACTTGCATCATTATTTACAATGAATAATTTGGTTTAATATTTTCTCTAAAAATCTTTATTTTGATATTTAGAAACGTCTATCCATTGCGACGAGTGGAGATGAAAGCGCGAGTCCTCCAGTTCCACGTTCGGTTACTCAATCACCAAGTCATGAACAGCATGGCGCTAATACTGGTTCTATAGGATCTGATAAAAGTACCGAAAAAGTAATCGTTGTAAAGGTAATTTTTCTAATTAGAAGAATAATTTTTTGAAATCATGAACAAAATTATAAAAAGAATGTTTATTTTATAGAAAATGGAACCTACACCAACTGCCGATCTAGATAGGACGAACGATAAAGTATATGATTGTACCACTAGCGTAGTTCGTGCAGTAATGTCTTTATCTCAAGGTATATATTATTATCTTTAATTTTAAATTTGAATAATTTTAATAACATTTTAATAATATTGCAAACAAGGTGTTCAACAAAGCAAGGCTGATCAATATTTAGAATTAGTACGTAAAGTGGGTATCGAATTGAGAGCGTTACTTTCATCTGTCGATGCTTTGATGGATATATTACCTATATCTGCTCATCGAGAAGTAGAAATGGCGCATAAAGTTCTTAGTAAGGATATGGCAGAACTTGTAACAGCTATGAAACAAGCTCAAAAATATAGTGCTACTACATTAGATGCTGAATATCGAAAGTAAGTGCTTCTTTCAATGCATATTAGCTTATTGCCATATAAATTTCAAAAAAAATTTAATGTAATTTCAGAGGGATGCTCTCAGCGGCTCACATTTTAGCAATGGATGCGAAAAATCTTTTAGATGTAATCGATTCGATACGTATTCGTTATCCATATGTAGATAATCAGATTTGCCAAAATCAAAATCATATTAATACTTCACAAGAATCGATGTCAGAAAATCGTATTCGTTCCAGTCAATCTGGAGAACAATTTCTAAGGAGAAGTCAATCGAGCGAACGTCAAGGTACTACGTTTAGACAGAGTCAAAGCGGTGATCTTTTACATAGAATGGGTCAATCCGTCGATCGTTCATTGCAGGTAAATTTATATCTCGAAATAAATTTTATATAATATATAAAATTTGTTATATAATGTAATTGTATTCAAAAATTATTGTAATATTTTTTTATTTTTTTAAAATTGTAATTATATAATATTATATATATGTAATTTATATAATTTTCTACTTAGGGTAGTCAAACTGATATCAGCAGCGGCTCTAGTTTAGAAAGAAGGCATCATATCGTTACTAATAGTCTTGAACGTAATTCAACAACAAGAAGACAAATGACAACAAATAGTTTAGAAAGAAAAAGACCATCATTATCTTGTAATATCAGTCCCATGAATAATTCGGTTAATTTGCCACCAATGGTACCAGTTACCTGCAATTTAGTCCAAACAGTTGGACCTGTTATTCATCCAAGTCAAACAGTTACAACAGGTATTAATCAACAGTCAGTGTTTACAACTAATAATAAAACAAATGAAAATGCAACAACTGATAGCTAACAACGAGGTGCCTTTGCATTAAGGTATAAGTAATAATATCAAATTATTTATTGCATAAATTTGTACGAAATTTCTCATACTCATTACTCAATTATATTTTTTATTTATTAATTTCAGGAAAACTTCGAAGTAATAATTATATGTATATAGTCTACATCGTACAAGTTACCCATTTACATCTCACACATAACTCAGCAGCAAGAGATTTAATATTTATGCTTTATAGCTCTTTTTAACATTTAATAAATTTTGTCTAAACGTACTTATAGATAAGGCAGTATTCGTTAAATATAACATAGATTAGGATTATCACGAAAAAACATAAGTCACAACTGAAAAGAAATCACTCCAAAGTTTTAGAATTATTATTAATTTGTTATTATATAATAATCATGTGTGAATTGGGTGATGCAAAAGATAGCCTTGAGTCTAAAAAATTATAAACATAAATAATTTTTATTGATATCAAACGCAACATTTATATGAAATAAAATATTTAAATTTTATTGCATATATCATAATATTATTAAAAATTAATTATAAAAAGATTATCATTATAATATAATCTATAATCTATCGCTTCAAAGATTGTCTTATTGTATCACCCAGTATGTAGTTGAATAATTCTATATATATACATAAATATAGATATTTATAAATATATATTTAAATGAATAGTTCAAAATATTTTATGCAAAAAATTTAATTTCATATAGGATACAATTTTACAAAATTATTTTTACGAATTTATAATTTATAATAGTCTATTTCCTGCTAAAAGGAGTGATTATAATTGTAAAAAATGGGACTGAATGTTATTTCTATTAGGTAATTATTTTGTAATTCATATCGATTTGTGAAATTTATATAAAATGTTTTATAAAAAAATGAATTATTCTTCAGCGGCAAGTCAGTTCCTATAAAATATTTATACAAATTTCATCATTGCATAAGAATAGTATTGATAACTTGTCAACATAATGCGCTTATAACGGCAGTGCATTTACAAATCTATTAAATATTCCATAAATTAAATATTCCATTTTTATACATTTATTTTTTTACATTCCTGGGAGGAAATTTAGTTTCATATTGGATTAAAATTATTGTCCATGATGTTTGACTGATTTTTATATTGCTCATTACTTTACACAACTATAGTTTTGAATACTAATGTGCCAAGGCGTATTTATATGTACAATATGAACAAATTTTATTATTGACTATACATGTACAGTAATATTTTTAATGTAACATCCCAGGAATTTGTAATTTACGATTACAATATTCGACACTGCTATTGCATCGAAAATATAAGATATTTTTTTTTTTAGATTTACTTTATTGTATATAAATAAATATTCAAAATTTGTATCATTTAATAATAATATTAATTATTGAGTTACAAGTATTATTTCTAGTAAATATTTTTCACATATATTTTATTATATTCAATTTTTTTTTCCACAAATTGTAGTCACTTATTTATTAGAATTCTATTGAAATATTTAAAAGTTTTCAATCCTATATCTTTCATGATGCATGTTTATATCATCTTCAATATTGTAATACTATATAAAATATATGTTTTGTTTTATAATTGTTCTTTACACACAATAATAATAGTTTTTAAGTATGCCATGACGAATATTACAATATATGATGATGTAATAAAATTAAAATATTGTTAAAAAAGAAACTTTTGTTTTTAATGTTGGATAATGTTGGATAATTTAAAAAATTGTATATGTGACAAATTTTATTAGTGAACTGATTATATGTTATAAATTTTTCAATTATCATTCAATAAACTTACTCAATTATTTGTATATATACATACACATGCGCGCGCGCACACATATACACACAAAATCAATTTAAAAATAATAAAAGCTTAATTTATTTTAGTTTTTTTATAGCTAAATATCTTCCACAATCATACAAGATTTCGTAATTTGTATAACAAAATAATAAATATATAAACTATTTATAATTGTTAGTATATATAAAGATAGTTGTAATTTTTTTTTTTAAGAAAAAGGATAAAATAACTACTGAAATGAAAATATTCTAGCATCATTGAATTACTGTTATTAATTAAGTAATAAAAATTAAGACACAATATTTAAAAAATATTTATAAAATTGTGTAAATGTAACTATGTATTATTACTACAGACAAAATAATAAATAGTAAGATAATTTCAGCATTATGAATACTTTTAAGATTGCCACATAATAGCACAATATCAACAACGACAAGTCAGCATCAATATATTTACATTATTGTATATATTTTAATAAAAATGTGTCCATTTAATTAGTAATCGTAGCATGATATTGATATTTTTTTATATCATTTCGACAATAAGTGTTTATTTATTTTATTTAATTACGTGTAAGGCGAATTAACAGCTCATGAACCAATTATAACTCTTTTTCTCTGCTTTTCTGCGAAAAACTGTTCTTTTTATATTTTAAAAAAATCTCCTATTATATTATTAACAAAGTATTCTTCATCACTTATAATTATATTTCATTATTTAATTTCACTGATTATAATTTAATAATATCTAGTTTACTTTTGCAAAAATCAACTAATTAAAACTAAAAGTAATATTCAACAATGGAACAATAGAAATAATGGCTCTTCAGAAAAAAATATAAAAGATATAAATATAAATATAAATATAAAGGAGATAGCCTGGTTAACTGAAAACCAGACTCTTGGAGAGAAAAAAGTTAGAAGTTTGAATTATGATATTGTATCATTAAAATGATTTTTACTTAATTATTTACCATATTTTGAACTATAATATTTAATACCATTAATAATTGAACATCTAGCATATTTAGTTAGAAGAGCATTAACATTCATTTTGTTTGTTGTTAAATTTCTAAAAAAAAAAAATAATTTATGAAATGAGAACAGAACTTAATATTTTATAAATACAATTTTTACTTACATTATATAAGGTGTTATTTCTTGAACTGTCCATTTATTTTTTGCTTTAAAAAGTTCATTAAATCTTTCATTAATATCTATTGGCAAATTAGCTTCTGTGAATGATACCACTTCTCTTGTCATTGTTGAGTTATTCCATTTGATAAGAGCAATTCCTTTTAAATATTCTTCTTTTGGTTCTATTTCTATGTACAAATAAATATAATATAAACATATTTTACATATAAATATTAACTATAAATTTTTTTATATAACTTTCAATTTACTTTCTGGTGTACCAATATGCCATGATTTCATAAATTGTTTATATTCAGTTATTGGAGAAACAGCAAGGAGTACTTTTGCCAAAGTCTTACAACATTTTTCCTCATCGTACCTTATAACATTATAACTTATAATAAATTAATAATTTTTATTAATATATGCATAAAATTATGTTTACCTATATAATGATGTTCCATCCTTTTTTGACTTCTCACTTACTTGTGTATATCTTGCAAATACAGCCTCAAAAATTGATTTAAAAATAAATTCTTTCAAAGATTCATATGTAAATTCTTTATCTACTTCATTTAATGCCCAACTATTTTCTTCCAAAATATCTAACATAAGTGTTAAACTTCGAACTTCAAATTCAAATGATATTAGACGAAAGTAACCTTAAAATCAAAAAATAGAAAATAATATGATTATTTAAAATATTAATATATGTTAATTACTATATTATTATTTGATGTCAATTATATTAATTTTATAAGAAAATATAATACCATCAATATTAACTATTAAATAATCATTTAAGGCTTGAATTAGTTCATCTTCACTGGCTTGTATTTCATTTTGTAATCTGTGCCAATTATATAAAAGTTCATGACATATTGATGATTCATATTCCATTCCTTTAAAAGATGTGGGCTCAAGTATATTAAGTAATTTTTCCCATTTAGGCTTACATTCTTTTGTCTAAAGTATTTTAAACACAAATAATATTTTATTCATAAATAATTTTATAAATATTATTTTAAAATTTTTTTACCTCATAGTATGTATGAAAAATTCCACAAATATTATAATATTTTATTATTCTGTCTGTATTTACTTTTATTTGTTCAAATAAATTTAATTTTGGTACTAATAAACAAGAATTAGATGTTCCTGCTTCTCTAATATCATATGTTCGATTTCTTGTACATAATACTGCAAAATCTTTCTTATTACCCTGAAATGTTAAACTGAAATGTTGCAAATAATATTAAATCATTATTAAAAAATTGATAAAATTAAATGAAGATATATACCTGTCTCCTTTATTTATTGCCTCTATTAAATGTTCATCAAGTTCTAATAATTTTATATGTTTTTCTATATCATGTTCTTGTGCAGAATATAAAATTTGCGTTACATTTTGCAAATCAGATTCCTTAATAACAGCTAATTCTAAACTTTTATGTATTTCTTCTGTTGTTCTCGAATAGCTATAAAAGTAAAAGTTAAAATATATCAAATATATATACCATAAATATATTAAATATATTTATTCAATATTTATTTGCACATGAAATTTTATGAAAATATTTTGTTGTCACCTAGTCTTTGCAGTTTCCATTATATGAAATTTGAAAAGATTACACGATAAAGTAAAATTATAAATTACAGAAAGATAAATCTTTTCATTTAAATTATTAATTACGATATATATTTCATATATAAGTATAATATAAAAATAAAAAGTTATATTAAATTTTTTTAGATAAACTTTTTTACCCGCCAATCTTTGTCCAATCGTAGAATAAATTAAACTGAAGATGGAGAAGTAGTTTCGATTTATCGAGAACTATACAATATCACTAGCAGCCATATTAATTGCCATTGCGCTTATTAAGAAACTTTATTGTGATCAAAAAGTCTGAATTTATACAATTTTCTTTTTCGTTGAGGTATGTACGATATTGATCTGAAGCAAAATAAAGTTATAATTATTTTCATAAAAAAAGGTAAAATTATAAACGTAAATTATGTTTTGAATATAATTTATATTGCTTGTTTTCTATTTTATGTTCGATTATTTTCTAGTACTACTTTTTTAATAATACATTTTGATAATATATTTACTTTCCACTATTCATTAATTGTATTAATGCATATTAATATTGGACTCGTTATGAAATATTATTATTTAACGTGCAAAAGAAATTTTTTATCTGAATAAATAATGGAACAAAAATCAACCTTAAATAATCCAAATTAAGAGACATATCAACAAGATATAATGATAGTTTAATGAAAACTAATCTCTTCAATTATTATTGAAAATATTGATTTAAAAATGTTGATTTAAAATGTTTTGAAGTATATATTATATTTCTTATATGTTATTATAATTAATGATTTAGTGTCATTTAATGATGCTATTCTTTTTAGAAATATAAGTATCCTATAGGACACAAACATGTCAAATGATGTGAACACCCAAGCTGATAAGGTATGTTTTGTTTAAAATATCATGCATGCTATATTTTTTTATAACAGTTGGGATATGTGAAGTGTATTTGAAGAAATATATGTGCTGTTACAATTGGGCTGCTATCATAACTGCAATTTTATTAATTCTTCTAATTGGAAAACAGGAAAATTATAGTAAACAGTTTGTTGATTAATGCTAATTTTTCTTTGGATCAAGCCCAATGAGGACGAAAATATCGATAAAGCAGAAGAAGAAGAAGGCACTTCGTCTATTGATCTGCATGCGGTACCTATTTCTGCAAATTAAAATTTTGCTGCTTAATGATCTTTTTCTGTTTTTTATATTCCTTGTCTTTCATTACTAACAGTAGGATAGTTGTATGGTAGTTAAAATATTAACTCAACATATAATAATTAACATAATACAATATAATGTATAAGTTTTGGGATAAATTTTTAGCAGGAAAGTGGAATTATATACGGAGGTTGTGAAGGACCAAATGCAATGTATGTAAAACTTGTTAGCAGTGATGGACATGAATTTATTGTTAAACGTGAACATGCTTTAACTAGTGGAACAATAAAAGCAATGTTAAGTGGTCCTGGTCAGTTTGCAGAAAATGAAGCTAATGAAGTTAATTTTCGAGAAATTCCGTAAGTCTTTTTTTTTATTTCAATTTCAATAAAATTATTATATTTATAAAAAATAAAGAAATAAAGAATTATTTATATTTTTTATTTACAGATCTCATGTATTACAAAAGGTTTGCATGTATTTTACCTACAAAGTACGCTATACAAATAGCAGCACAGAAATACCAGAATTTCCTATAGCACCAGAAATTGCATTAGAATTATTGATGGCTGGAAATTTTTTAGATTGTTAAATGTCACGAATGATATTAATAAGCAATCGGTTTTGAGCAGTCAGTATAATAAAATTATTTATCATAATTTTAACATAAAAAATTCAATTATATTGTGACATATATCAAAAAATAATTCATAATTCGCATTTTGTATTTTGCAATATAGTTTAATATTATTTTAACAATAAATTATCTAAATTGTTTAAATGATTTATTTATAAACAAATTTAAAAATATATATCTGATAAATGCTTAAAAAATATATATATATATAATAATAGAGAAATTTCAATTAATCAATGTGATCTAAATTTATTGCATGTGCTATTTGATTAACTATATATCCAATAATATAACAAATTATTATATTTAAACAAAATTTATATTAGAAAATGATATACTGATGTAATATGAATTGTATATTCATGACTGTCTGATACATAACTATAAACAAAAAAAATTGCATCATGTACAATTAATATAGGATTTAATCAATAGATTATATAACAAGGAGATTGTTATTTTTGAAATGGTGTCTATATTAATACATTATAGTTATATTTTTTATTATATATAAGAATATTTATTTTTGATTTCTATTCAAATTACAAATTTTACTTCTTATTTATTATTTTCTGGCAACTTTAATCATGTTTCATATTTTCCATGTAGAAAATAATTAACATACATTTATAAATAAAATATAATATGTAGTATATAGAAATATTATGTGATATAGTGTAAGAAAAAAAAAACACACGACACATTTTTATAGAATCTTTATAAAAAAATGTGTGTGTATCTGTGTGAGACTGTATTCTAATATAATTAATTATATAAATTAAAATTAATGAATGTTTTTATTTCTTACCTTTTTTATAACAGAAAATGTAATTTTAATTTCATTAATGTACATTTCTTATTTAAATAATTAAATGATACAATATTTAACTTAATTATATATTTCTTAATAGATTACAATTTTATTTACTTTTTGTATCTTTTTCAATATCCTTAAATTTTGCTTCTAATCGTTTTGAATATGCTGCTAATTTATATGCAGCTTGTTCTAGTTTAGTTACACTATCGTCAATTTCATTGATATTATCTAAAATTGGTTGTAACTTTTTATATTTTTCGTTTAAAGAATCCAAAGATTGGGCTACACTAGATGATATTGTTTTTAATTCTGTATACTTCGCAATAGTTTCTTTATTTAATCGTTCTAATAAACGATAATCGGCATGAGTAGCAGTAAGTTCTTCTTGTAAATATTCTCCAGTTTTTTGAAACATCGTATTAGCTAAACGACTAAGATTCGGATCATGAGGATCCAATGCTTCGAAGCTACTTGTACTTGTCGAAAGAGTAGTTCCACGTTTTGGCGATTCACATCTTAAATTATGATCTGCTGAATTTTCCAAAAAAGGTGGTGGTTCACTTTCAATGTCTTCTCTTAATGGATCTTTGACAGATGTCATTGTCACAGTAAATAATTATCTATTTAACAAGAAATTATGTAGTATATATAATCTTTCTTGTCTCACAGACACATAATTCAGGACAAATGTCAAAATTATGGAAAATTAGTTGTTTTATTACGCTATCTATTATTTTTTGAACGAAATATTTTGCCGATAATACAGTAATTGTATTTGCTGATTGCCAATAAAATGTTTTTATAAATACTTAAAATCACAGTTAATCAGAATTATCTTGTATGTGCATATTTGTTTAAAATAAATAAATAAAGATAAATAAATATAGATAAAGAAAAGAAATAATGGAGAAAAGATAAAGATAAGGTAAAAATTGTGCAATCAGCGCCATCTTCAGTGTGCCATAAATAAAACATCATATAAATAAGAAAAGCTAATAATATAAAAAAGACAAAGATAGAATAAGAATTGACTATTTTTCTTAAATGCTTTATTTTATTATATCTTTGAAAAGATATATTTGAGATGGCGATCAATTGTTATGCTTTTTCTATTCTTTTATGATTTAATTCTCTTATTATATTAGCTTAATCTATAGCACTTTAAAGACAGTGCTGATTCAAAAATTTTTATTCTATTTCTATCTTTTTTCTTTTATTTTCTTTCTTTACTTGCTTTGTAAAATTTATATGCTGAAATATTCAAAAATTCAAAATATTTCAATATTTTAATATTATTTTATTAATATGTAAATCATTCTTTTTTACAATTATAGGAACATATTCATTTTATGGCACAATAATTTAGTATATAAATTATTATTTAAAAAGATAATGACTCATTAATTGTGACTATTAAATATAAATGTAAATTTTTTTTAAAATAAACATATTTATAATTAATTTTAAATATAAAATAAGTATTTAGTTTGGGCTTTGGTTTAAACTTTGGTAACCAGACACCACCATGGCTTTATGTTTAAAATAATTGAATATATAAATAAAATGTTCTGCTTGAAATATTTTACATTTTCTTATAAGAAATATTTCAATATTTATTATGAAGATTTATATCCATTTGGATTATTTTGTTGCCATCTCCATGTATCTAAACCTATAATAAATATATTAAAATAATTAATTCTAAATTATTAATTCCTATAACAATTACAATTCTTCATATATTATTGAAATAGTAACTTACACATATTGTCTATATTTTTAGTAGCTTGCCAATCTAGTTCTTTATTAGCTAAACTAGCATCTGCATAACTTACAGAGATATCACCTGGTCTGCGTTCAATTATCTTATATGGTATATTTCGTCCTGATGCTTTTTCAAATGCTCGTATAACTTCTAGTACTGAATATCCTTTTCCAGTACCTAAATTAAACACTTTAAATCCTGTAAAATTACGAATTTTTTGATAAATCATTGCTTTTACATGGCCCACAGCTAAATCCGTAATGTGAATATAATCTCGTATGCCTATAAATTAAGCAATAAGCATAAATTAATACAATATATTGATTTCACATAAATATTTTTATATCTTTTCTATTTACCTGTTCCATCAGGAGTATCATAATCATTTCCATAAACATATAAAATTTCTCTTTTTCCTACAGATACCTGAGCAATATATGGCATTAAATTATTTGGTATTCCATTGGGATCTTCTCCAATTAATCCAGAAGAATGAGCTCCAACTGGATTAAAATATCTCAAAGATATAACAGACCATGCCTAAAATGAGTTTCAATTTGATTAAAATATTTTAAAGATATAATAAATCATTATTTCCTTACATATTACAATAAATATTTTATTAATAATATGTAAGACAATGAAAACCAAAATCACCTTATCTGAAATGCACAAATCTTTCAAAATTTCTTCAACCATATATTTTGTTTTTCCATAAGGATTGGTACAATTACCAGTTTTCATATCTTCAACTAATGGTAGTTTTTCTGGAATGCCATAAACTGTGGCACTACTTGAATAAATAAAACATTTCACATTGAATTCTTTCATAACTTTTAATAAATTCAATGTTCCACAAACATTTGTTTTATAATATTCTAAGGGTTTTTCACAAGATTCACCCACAGCTTTTAAAGCAGCAAAATGTATAACAGAATGAAACTTGTACTGAAATAAAATTATTTTAATCATTTTAATTATAGTATATTTATTCTTAATAATATTCATTATTATACCTTTTCAAATATTTTTTGTAATTCATCCAAATTTGTTACATCACATTGAATAAATATAATTTTTCTATTTGTTAATTTTTCTACTCGTAATAAACATTCTGGTTTTATATCATCATTTCCTGCATACAAATATAATATAATTATTATTTATCTTCAATTCAATTAAAAAAAAATATTTATTTTCATATATTTTGATATATATATATATATTACTATATAATATACAATTAAGTACTATAACTATCAATATTATGTGTTTTATATATGTTCATAAAATTACTAATCCATTAAATTATTATTGATCAACTATATTAATTAATTAATATTTTTTTAAAATCATTATTACTTTTATTAGAATACACATGAGTTGTTATTTTTAAAAATAATATTATAAGGAATATTATTATATTATTATATTATATTCATTATTTTTTTAACTGATTCGTTATTTCTTACCTTTATAAGCATTAGTAAGGTTGTCTATTACCACCACCTCAAAATCTGCTTGTAATAATTCCAATACTGTATGAGAACCAATGTACCCAGCACCTCCCGTCACCAATACATTCCAAGATTTGTTTGTCATTATTTCACTCTGCTTTTTTGTTATTTTTAATACAATATTCTACAATTATTGTGCTCTTACTATATTAAAAGGGAACTACCAGTGATATATACATAGACAAAATGATATTAATACACTATCAGGTAAAAATAATAATGTTGAATAATACTGAATACTAATCATTTTTTAATATTTTATCGCTTTATAAATTAAATATATAAATGATTTAAAATAACTGCATTTATTTGACATTAAAAATCTATACTACATAGTAAATATTTAACAGAAATAATTTTTACCTTTGCCACACACATTCAAAAATAATGTACATAGATATATGTAATTTATATTAATTAAAAAGAAACTTTATCATAACAATAACTATATACATAACATATATATATCAAAATTATTTTAATAAAAATGAAATTACCATTATATTTTACATATATATGATACGTAAGCAATTAACCTTATTTCCCAATCGCTAAAAGATTTTATATTTAACTAAAATAAACATGATAAAAAACTGAGTACATTATATGATAATTTAAGTTACACAATACAGATATCTTATCAGCGTTAATATCAAATTATAATATAAGATATTAAATTAATATTTAAAAAATATTATCCGTAAATTTCATTTTGATATTTGTCAATTTAAACTTAATTTATAAATTAAAATAAATTTATATATATATATAATATAGTAAAATATATATATATACAAATCTATTATATGGGCAAATCAAATACTGATATTTTTATAAATAATTTCTTTATCATAGATTTAGCATATTATATCATAATTAATATGATATATAAAGTGTGAGCTAATATTTTAACTTTATACAGTAATTAAAATCAATAAAAATGAATTTTATAAAAAAAAAATTATATATCCAATTTAAATAAAAAAAGACTCACTTGAAAATTTGTATAAATTACAAATTTTATATAAATTACAAAAATTAAATTAAATTACAGTAATAATTTACTATAATTTTTAATATGATAATTTAAACTAACAAATTTCACAATGAAAAAATAATTAGGCAAAAGAAATTTACAATTTGAACCGAACGGAATTGGAACCGTTTTAAACTACTTTTATTTTACATAAATTTCAATTTTATCAGTTATTTATTTTTCAGGTAGACTTTGGGCACGTGTAAGAAAAAATAGGTCACGGAATGTCGATTTGTTGATTAACAATGGGTTTTTAAATAAGTGATATTCGCATATATTTTTACATTTATATTTATTTAATTCTAAATTGAGTTTAACTTTTGATGATAAAATTAAAATTATATAATTAATTTTTTATAGATATAAATAAATAAGTTATCATATTAATAAAAAAATTATATGTTGCTATATATTATATATATTATTGAATTTATATATGAAAAAAATTTTCTTTATATATGAAAAGATTATTTAAATTTTATTTCATTTATAATATAAAAATATGAACTGTTTTTTTATATAAGTATATATGATATATAATAATTTTTTTAAAACATTTATTATATATATATATATATATGTACAATATATTTCAAAGGAAAGAATATTTTGCATAATATGTAAAAAATTAACATAAAATTGTTCTTTTTGTTTATAAACTTATTTAAATATTTCAGCATATTTAAAATTATTATATATATTTAAAATTATTTAATAATAAAATTTTTCCGTTTAAAAATCTATTGCACAAAAAAATATCATTGTTAACCTCTTCAATCATGATCGCATATGTGTATTCGACGATCGGTTAATTCATTCGACAGTTGCTGATTAAAATCAGCGATCGATTGGTATTTGTCGATTAAAATCGACAATCATATCAAATAAGTAAAGAAAATGTTTTTTTTATATATAAATACAATAAATGGTTCACATTTTTATATCATAAATAACAAAATATTTAAATAACAAATTTTTGTACGTAAATTTAGATTTACTAATTAAGACACTATTTGAATATTAATATAACTCATTTTGTATTTTGTTAATTTTATTGTTTAAATATAGATATTAAATTAGATATAGATATAGATATTTGAAATTAATAATTAATAAAATAATAATTGACATAAAATTTTAAGTATAATGATGGAATAATAGCGTAACATATTTATATTTTTTAATGATTTTTTTAATAATAAAAGAAGTAAAATATATAAATTTAATGATGATTAAAAATTTTAATTTTGATTTTAATTTATATTATTTGTTTATTTGTGTAATTTATGTTATATAATTAAATTATATAATATTTATATAATCAAATATAATATAATAGAAATGTTAATAGATCATATGAATTCTCCCATGAATCTCTAACAAATATTAATAATTAATTTTAATTATTTGTGAATATAAATAAAAATATATCAGAAATATGAATATACAGATTCATATAATATATACGTATTAAACTTTAAATAAATTTAAGATGCGAATATGATTTGAAAGTAAAACTCTCAAGAGTTGTTTTCACAAATAGACACCATATTATTATCGAATAGTGAAAATTACCGTTAGAAAGTCATTTCAATGAAACATTTGCAAGTAATAATACTAATAACATTTGCAAGTAATAATATAAAGTAATTATATACATTTTATTACATATACAATTTTGAAAATAACTTTCAAGAATTTTATTCTCAAATTTATTCATATACAATAATTTTATCATTAATATACATTATATATACTAAAATGCACTATGTACAATGTACACAATTATTTATGTTAAATTTTTAATAATAATAAAAATATTAAAAATTGTTGTTACTTAAATAAAAATTATTTATAATTGTAATTTTATTTATATTTAATACATTTGATATATATATATTGTTTATTATTTAAAATAATTTACAATAATAAGAAAGAGAAAATTAATTAGACAACTTTATGTAAAATATTTTACATTAAAATATTAAAATATTTTATGTATATAGTACTAAATATTTTATTATATTAACAATTTAATGATAAAAAAATATTTTGTATATACATATATTTTTTTTCATAGATGACGGATTTCATTTTTTTGAAGGGATGAATCGAAACTTCGAGAAACATCTATTGAACCTCTTATACTTTAAAATACTATTCCTTTCTATACTTCCTACGAGTAAAACATACTGTTAAGTCCCCTCTTTAAAGAAGTTGGACCAATCAGCAGTTACCTTCAAGTTCCCGCGCGTGAACCTTAAAGCCCTAGTATTTACAATTGTTTCTTCAATTATAATTTATAGTTTTAGTGGATGATTTTTGAATAATTATTAATTAAGACCGTTGATTTATCGTATCAGTAAATAAAATGTTATTATATATAAGAAATATTCAATGAGATTATGTAATTTAATACAGATATTCTTTAGATAATTGACAATTAGCATAAACAATAATATATACAATTAAAAAAATAAGATTAATTAAATTATTTCTTTTTTTTTTGAAACTACTAAGTAAAAACATTAATATGTAATAAACTAAATCAGTTAAGATTTGACAATAAAGTTTATATCTATTAATCTGCCGTAGTTATGAACGATTTCACTGAAATTCCCCACTCGATGTTACGGCACTGTGCCTCGTGAAATGCGGCGGCCCCGCATCAAGAAAAACAGGGCCCGGTTAAGTGCATTACTCTTGGGAGTGTAATATCGTTGTACTATCCCAGAATTTTGTAACGAAACTAAGTGTTTATAGATGAAGATTTAGAAGTCATATTTTTATTCTTTTACAGAACTATGTGTTTGTGTTTTAATCCGGTTATTAGCAGTTGGAATATGAATATATCACAAGATTATCTAGAATTATTGTGTGAAGCGAGAACGTCGATTCTTTAAAACTGTGATGAAAGCAAGGTTATTTGCGATTATGAATATGGAATTTATTCAATATGTTTAAAGAATTCGATAATAAAAAGTCTATTTGATTATTTGAATATTTGTGAATTATAATTTTTTAAGGTGAAAAGATATTGAACTGAATTAATGTAAGACGCCATAAGCAAAAAACGGAGATGATAAATTTTAGGTAAAAGAAAAAGTAAGTAATATTTTAAATAAATCAAATAGTAAATAAAGATCATAAGAAAAAGAAGAGAATCAAAAGAAAGAAAGAAAGAGAGGAAACAAAAAGTTTGAAAAAGAGAAAACAGAAAGTTTGATGGATGACAAGGTAAGACTTGTGGAGGTAAGGCATATAATACCGCGTGGGCCACCTCTTAAGTAGTAAATCCAATCTTGAGAAAAAGAGAGAGAGAGGGAGAGATCAAGAGAGCAAGAAAAAGAGAGAAGGAGAGACCGTACAGTGACCTAGATTTTACCGGGTCGAATAAGGCAGATCGGTATAAAGAAGTTACTGTAGACTTTCTGAAATGGGACGCAGCGCAGCCTGGAGCTAAATTAGCCGCAATGTCTAATAAGAGTAAGTCCCAGCCGCAGCAGCAGCATCCTTCGCACGTGATCAAGTCGACAGTGGAGCAAGTGCCACCGCGATATCAGCCACCACCACAACCAACCAGTGGTATCCTCAAGAATCATCCTTACTTTGGTACAGGCCCTTCCGTGCCAACCTCAGTGTCTACAGCCGGTCAGGGTCCTATCACAACTTTGAATCACCATCAAACTGTGCAATCATCACGACCTGTGCCGCAACAGAAGGATGCACAAAGCAAATATTCACCGAGGATAGAACATCGACATCATCCTCAAAGCGGAAGCACTTTGACTGCGTCAGTTTCGAAAACGCAACCTCATAGTTATCTTCAAGCCAAGGTCGGCCAAGGTCAGTACCTGCCACCTAACGGTCAGTATCCTACGGTAAACACTGCACAAACACCGCCTCTCAGACAAAGGATCACCGACGACGAGTTTCTTAGGCTGGGACCTGTGGAGATGCTCAAATTTGTTCGCAAGACCGAAAACGATATCGCAAGGCTCGCCGCCGAGCAGAATAGACAGATACAAAATTTGGTGAGTTTTACTGGTTTCTTACCTGTTTTCTCACCTGTTTTTTAATGAAGTAAATTATTTTAAATAATGCGATATAAGTAAAAGTTCTATTTATACATTGATGAGAGAAAGAATAAATGAAAGAAAGAATAAGAATAATCGTAAAACTAATTGTAGTCTTTTCTTTTCTACTGATACTATGATACATCTGTTTTATTACTTAATTTTACGAAAAATATGTGATCATGGATTTTAAGCACGTCACACGGAAGTTTTTGAGGCACTTTTAGGTCACACGAGTTGAGTCCACCATCGTAATTTCAACCAGTCACGCACATGTGAGTCCAATCGCGAATGATTGCTACTACGATCGGATTCTTTTCACTGAAAAATTATCAGTCGAAAATAAATACATATATTTATTATAATAAAAATTAAAAATTTTGTAAAATTTATTTTTTTTCTTATGTATCTTAATTTATGATAGAATTTTTAATTTATGATAAAAATAGCATAAAAATGACGATT